AAAAAAATATAAGATTACAAATATTTTTAGAGCGACTTGGACACTCATGAAGAAGGAACAAAAATACCTGGAGGGTTTTAAAATGTGGTGTTGGAGAAGAATAGAGAAGATCAGGTGGACGGATCGAGTGATCAACGAAGAAGTATTGAGGAGAGTCAACGAGCAATGAAACATTCTGCAGGCGATTACACGAAGGAAAGCTAACTAGCTGGGACATATTACGAGAAGGAATGGATTACTGAGTGACATCATCGAAGGCCAGGTTGAAGGAAAGCGAAGACTGGGAAGAAGACGGATACAGCTAACCGACGATCTGAAACAAGGAAAGATGATGAAGTTCCAGGAATTAAAACGGAAAACTGGAGAGCTCTTTTTTGGGCAGAGCAGAACACTGAATAATAATAATAATCTGGCACTTGTTATTTTCGTATTACACCACAAGACGCGCTCGCACACGTGCGTATATACATGAAAACACGCACATAAATCTGCACTGGTAATTTTGAACATTGTAAGTGAATTTCGTGGCGAAAGAGTTCCAATAAAACTTGATATCCTGTCATTAATAGAATCATTTGATACTTCAATGAGTGAAATAGGGGGAAGAAGAGGTATTTTGGAACTCGATTTTCAAATTACATTAACTGTTTCATGCCTGACATACTACTATAAATGATTTCGTAAAAAAAAAAAATTTAGATTTGCAAAGCACTATTTTAAATAAGACACATCCGGCACAAACTCATTCGACAATAATTTCTTTCGGAATGCAAGTATGGTGCGCGCTTCAACTTTTGAATCGCAATGAAGTCTTTCACGAATACAATCTTAATCTTTATGCACATGCATGGGGCACACAATGGAAAACATCGCCTTTAAGAAACCAAACACCACCGCCTCCCCCACATTCCGTCGTCATAGCGCCTGGAGCTAATCGTGCGCGATACAGAGACACAGATAGCATTTATTGTCTGCGCTCAAACGCACTGAAAGTGGTCAGCACCAGTTTCCATAAGTAGCGGCATCTATCAGACAATGATATATACTACATCTATCAGTTGGGGGAAGGCGAGCTGAGTCGGTAATAATCATACAAAAATTTCACGGTCTTGGCTCTTGTATCACACCATGATTGGTAACCACGGGTAGGGGGGGGGGGGGGGGGTGAGGGCCTCGCACGACTACATGATGACGAATGATATACTTCTTTTGCACTGATCCCAGCTTTGAGAGTAATGCACCGCGTATCGTTCCATGTTTTGGATCAATTCTTACTGGATTGAAATCTGCTAGTTCAACTATCTGTGTTCCGACACTATTCGCAATTATTATTATTATTATTATATCCCATCTCTTCACCACTTTATGGGGTATGTACTCCCAAGTACCCGAGACAGACCTTGTCCCTAAGGTACATAGGGATCCATATTGTTTTTAGCAACTGCCACATGTATTATAAAATATTTTACAATACATGTGACACCAAACTACTTCCTTCATTTATTCTCTTGTCCAAGCCACTCTTGTTTTTCTTGATTGATTTTCTTGTGAGTCTTGGGCTTGTTGGCTGTGCGTGTCCATGGTTGGCCTGCGTTGAGTTGCCTCGTTGCCGTAACCAACCTCAGCCCTTGGAGTACCTAGACGACCTGTACTCCAGATCTTTGTCTTTCCATTCTTCGGTAGTAGCTGCACGGGATTATTTATCGAGGTTTACTCCTCTAGATCCGCCGTGTTCTGTTATATGACAGGGTCACCTCTAGTCGGATGTGGCTCTTCACCACGCACGGACGGTCTTGAGCAAGGAGAGGCTCTTGGATGCCTAGCGTCTGTCTTTAAAAACACCATACATAAAGATGTCCGTCTTCTGGGTTATTGCGCTGTGTAGTCTGGTCGATATTAACCAACGTTTCAGAGGTCATACTGCCTCCGTCATCAGGGCGATGAATATGCCAATGGGGTGTGAGGAGCTGGATTTATAGGCAGGGAAGTGAAAGGTGTAGCCTGCCCCATTGAC